AAAACTCTGTACAAAAACCTTTGGAGCAAAGACAACAGAAGACATACATCCAACATCCACTAGAGGGAGACACACTCTGCTACACTTCTGTGGTTTATCAGAATACAGTCTGGATGTTTTGCAGTAGTCTGAATAAAGCAACAGAAAACACAAAGCAATAAAAGCTACAGGGAAGGTACGTGTTTGCTGCATCTATGCTGCATTTATCAAGTATCCCAATGCAGTTTGCAATACAAATTTCAATACCAAGGCAAAAAATAATTCAATGAAACGCAACAAAGTTTTTCAACATCAGCAATTTAATTTGAAAACACATGAGCTGAAGCTTTCAAGTAATAAGAAAGACATTATCTTGCTTGTTTTTTTTTTGTTTTTTTTTTACAACAAAACAATATTGGACCAATTATTGAAAAAACATGCAAGTCTTTTCCTCTTCACATTTCTTCTTAAATGAAGAACCTATATGTGGAACTTTATCTGACTGACTGACAACTGCCACCTATCATTTGGGTCAGATGGCTGCAGCCCTCCTCCATCCAGACTCCATCTCCTTCTCCATATTGTGCACGCCATGTCAAATGCAACTACAGACTCTGTCAGCCTTTCTCTTGTTTGAGTCTCAATCGAGGTGCAGATGAATCAAAAAACCCTCCGTCATCTTTTTGCACTATATTGATAGGTGAGGACTGAAAATGACCAGCTGATTAAAAACCTCACCATTAATGTTAAAGCACAGAACAAAGGTGCTTTAAAAGTCAGAGATCTACTTTCAACCTTGACCAATTCTTACATATTTTAAGCTTTGTTCCCTGATGACTTTCCCACAGATGATTCTGTCGTTCATGATTTGTCTCCTGTGTGGACTTTGATGTGGACTTTCAAAGTATCACTCCTACCAAAACTTTTTCCGCAGGTATTACAAAGGTATGGCCTCTCACCCGTGTGCATTCTCATGTGGACTTTCAAAGTGCAACTCTGACCAAAACTTTTTCCGCAGGTATTACAAAGGTACGGCCTCTCACCCATGTGACTTCTTGTGTGACGTCTAAGTTGTGTTGGAAGAGGAAATCCTTTTCCACAGGTGTTACAAAGGTACGGCCTCTCATTCGTGTGTATTCTCATGTGGACTTTCAAAGCACCACTGTGACTGAAACTTTTACCACATGAACTGCAAGAAAATGGTTTCTCACCTGTATGGATTGCCACATGCCTTCTAAATGTTGAAGAATCACTAAACCTTTTCCCACAGGTGTTACAAAGGTACGGCTTCTCACCTGTGTGAATTCTTGTGTGGACTTTTAGGTATGTGCTATATCTGAAACTTTTCCCACACGTTTCGCAAGCAAATGGCCTCTCAGCTGTGGGGACTATGAAATGTTTTGTTAGTTTGGATTTATCTTTCATGGTTTTTCCACAGATATCTTGTGTTAGAGGCTTTTTCCCTGTATAATTATCACAGTTATTCTCTAAAAGAGAATTGTCTGCATTTTTACTGCAACTGCTGTTTCCCTCATATCTCTTCTCTGGCTTCAGCTCTGCTTTTCTAGTTGATCCTGAGTCTACTTGCATGCTTACTTCTGGAACTGAGCTCTCAACTACAGGAGACTCGTGAGAGAGAAGCTGGTCGCTTTTTGGTTCTCGCTCAGTGTGCTCACTTTCCTCATAAGGAGGGGTCACCACAAAGATGTCAGTCTCCTGCTTCATTACAAACTTCTCTCCATCCAGACTTGTGCAGATTTCCACCACTTCCTCTTTAATCTGTGGAGGTTCTTCGTCCTCTTGGTCCAGACTGGTGCAAAGTTCCTCCTGTTCCTCCTTAGTCTGTGGAAAATCTGGGTCCTCTTTTTCCAAACTACAGTTCCCCTCCTGGTGACAGAGCTGTTGTTGAGCATTAAATTCCTCCTTCTGGCAGACATAGTACTGTGGGAGTTCTGAAAGGACAAAGGGACACAAGAAAAAGATGACTAATGTGATGACAGGAAAACATGCCGCAGCCACTTTTTATTTGGGACTGGACATCCCTGGAAATTCTGCTCAAGAACGGATCATTTGATTGAGAAGAATTACATTTTTTCTATTTAATTATTTTACTCTTACAGCTATCAAACAGCAGCAGTTAACAGTTAAAAACAATGCTTTTATATTCTCTTCCTCTGCATGTGTGATCAAAACACACCTTCCATATTGTACGCAGGCTGTATGTATCAGCCTGCGTATAAAAACACAGCTAAATTTGGGTTGAGATGATTCCCTTGTGTCAATAGGTCTAAAACATAAAGTANCCCCGCAACCCTAGTGAGGATTAAGCAGGGTTTAGATGGCAACTGCAGACCAACCAATGATTGAAGAGCTCCATCATTATTAAAGTTTTCTGTTTGGGAACATTGCAGTTAACTACAATGATGATGGACAGGGGGATCAGATGAAAGCTGTATACCGACACCTGAGTATGCAGCTGGTTCTTTGTCCAACTTGTTCACTCATTGTAGGCACTATCACCTGAATGTGAACACCAGTGCTGCAAAAAAAAAGACAGTAACGGCAGTACAAGATCCCTGTGGCATATAAGCAGGCTCTTGCTAACAATTCAGACAAGGCCAAAGTGATAAACACCAGAAGTGTTCTTATAGCAGTGGACATGAGACAGCATGTGTGAATAACACAGGTTGATAAGACATGCTGAAAGTTAACCAGTGCCGTCACCAAGCTCCCTCTCATCCGCATTTCAGCCAGAAAGTCACAGCAGCTCTTTACAACAAACACAAGCTACAGCTGTCCACAACTAATCCAACATCTGCTGCCTGTTGACAACCAGGAGGTGGACATGTAGAGAGTTACCTGACACGAATAGCACAATTCCAGTAGTTTGTTTTATAAATGCTGCCCTTTATACTATCAATAACATATATGACATTATGTATCATTTTATTAGAGAGAATATTTGTGTTGTACAGTTACAAGTGCAGTACAGTTAATTTTCTAAATACTGCACCTTACTTGATTTGTATTTTCTTATTTATTTGAGATAATATTTGCAGAGATTTTTTTTATTTAATAAATGTTTCTGTCTTTATTAGTAGGTTGTAACCTGTTGCAGCAGCATGGATAGACTTCTTTATGAAAGACACAGCTATAGTCGGTTCAGTTTTTGTTTTGTTTTGTTTTTTATTATTATAACTAGTCAATTAAGCAATTCCTTTTGTTTTTTAAAATATATTTTTGGAGCCTGTTGTCTTAATTTTACAGCAGTAGAGATGAACAGGAAAGGGGGGGAGAAGAATACAGCTAAGGGTCATGAACCCACGACCGCTGCATCGGGGAACTATAGTCCCTGTTTATGGGTCACCTGCTCAACTAGATGAGCTACAGGGGTGCCCGAGTAAACCAGTTTTTAATCTAAAAACAAAACAAAAAAAAAAGCATTTTCATGTTTTTCTTTCTTGTATTTCTTTTTTCCTCCGGAAAACTTAACAAACTGTGTCTTCTGTGTACCATTACACCACTATTCCTAACACAAATACAATTTTAATCAAATAAACAAAATGAAAAGTATTTAAAAAGCACAACATGGAAGAACCATTCCAGATTCTTTGTTTTTCTGTAATTAATTAAAGGTTACATAAAAGCCTTTTTTTAAAATAATAGATATTAATCCTTATTTTGTACTTGTGCTTTGCAGTCATGCCTGCATAAGCTCATGATAAAAGAAAGTGGCCAAAAAAAAAAAAAAAAGACTATTTGGCCTGCAGCGATTTAGCACACTGGAATCTAATTACGAGTTATTAGTTCCTGTGGCAGCACAGTGTGATTGACAGTCTCAGCATGAACACCATCAAAATGTCTGAATCCATCAGGGCTGCTTTTAGCCCCTGAGGATATGTGTGGATTTCTTTAAAAGAATATTTCAAACTCACCTTTTTAGCCTGGCTGTAATGTGGTGTGTTTTTCTTTCAAGTTGTAATTTTGCTGTCATGTCTTGTTCCTTACTTTATCATTGTTCTTAATATTCAAAACTCTTTTTTTTTTTTTTTTTTGTTCTTAATATTCAAAACTCTTTTTTTTTTTTTTTAAATAAAATCCTTTTTAGCTGTTTAGGTTCAGCACTTTTGCATTTAATGCATGACTTGTGCACGTAAATAAAGTATGATTGACAAAATCAGTATGGTAGGATTTGGATATAAATAAATTAATGTATTGAAAATTTTTTACTTAAAGAAATTATTCATGCAATTTACATGCAAAATACGTCAATCCAACGAGCGGACTAAGAATTCAACCCGCGGCAACAAGAAAAATGCGAACATACAAACATGGTCGTCGGCCTCTTAGATCTGCAGACAGAGGTCAAAGAAGAAAAGAAAAAATGAAAATACCTCAGAGCAGAATTATTTGGCTACAAGTACAAGTTCTGCATTTAAATTTGATTTAGTATTTTTATTTTATTATTATTATTTATTGGCATCAAAATATAGACTATGCTTCTCAGCATTGTCAAATGTTTTATACTTTTATTGTTATTTGAAGTTAAGTGTGTCTGTATTTATTGTATGTGCCTTGGCACTGTTTAACACTAAGGTTGTCCCTCTTTGTGTTCTCCAAGGTTTAACTAAACTAACTGAATACACTTAAACTAAAACATAAAGTACCAAAAGTAAGAGTGTTCACCATTCGATTGGCTTCATGTAACTTATATAAGTGTTTTATGAATATTGATGCATCAATATTCCATGTCCATATTGTTGGTGCTGGTGTGTATGCGTGTGTGTGGGTGTGTTGAGTATGAGTGTGATATTGTTTGTTTGTGCGTGAGGGAATGATTTTAAGGTGATTTTAATCTGTAAAGCACTTTGAATGACATTATTGTATGAAAAGCGCTTTAGAAATAAAGATTGATTGATTGATTGAATGAGTTCATCATTTTAATGTTGCAGCTTGTAAAGGTTATTTAATTACTTTTATCTGCTGAGTTGTTTGAGAATTCCCCCTCATTGATCAATAAAATTTAATCTTAATCTAAAACATTACATCACAATTTGCTTGTTGATTAGATGTTGTAATATTCAACTAAATCTGCAAGCTGAAAAGTGAAATATTTGCCTCTGAAACATAATGACGTAGAAGTAGAAAGTAGGAGGAAACAGAAATACCCAAGTAAAGTATAAGTAATTCAAAGCTGTACTTCAGCACAGCACTTAAGTAAAAGTATTTTCCACCACTGTGTATAGAGACCGGTGAGCTGTTTTAAGACTAAGCTAAAGACCCTTTTTGCACAGTTTTAACTTAATATGGAACTTTCATTTATTCTAAAAGTGCTGTTTTAAACTTATAAGTACTTTGTTCTTCTCTTTGCCTCCAAAGCTCAGGAGAAAACCTTTGTGTCTGATAAGGTGCTACATAAATAAAGCCGTGCTCGCGCTTGGTGATTCACACACAGCGTGGTGGATGAGCTGATGTGACAGAAACACAGCTCAACATGGAGGAAAGAGGTCAGAGAGAGGAACTGTGAATTCCCTCTGTTGGGTCTGCGCACACGTCATAACAACCAACTTCATGATAACAAGGCTTATCCATAAAACATGATAATCGCTCGGTTCAATTGTAGCCACATCACAGGAGTGGGTTACTTCTGATATGACACCGTTTATGATATGATAAGCTTCCCTGTTTTGTTTGGTGTTTCTTTACAAAGAGCCCAGAGGTTGACATCCACGTTGGTCACCTGTAAACTGCTGGAAATGTAGCTTTCACATTGTACTACATAAAAGCAGGAGGGAAACATCTGTCTACTCACTGGAGGACAACATTCTACAGGGAGAAGAAGACAAAAAGAAAATACAGACAAGAGCGGGAGAGGTTTCAGTCATCGAACTGGCCGGGGTTGTCGTTAAGCAGAACGTGCCAGCGCTCGATCTTCTTGTCCTTGTTCTTGAGGCATTCGTACCAGTGCTTTAAAGACTCTCCTTTAGCCTGGATGCCTAACTGACAGCCCCCTGAAAGCACAAAGAAAGAAAGCATTATAATATCTGTGTTTTTCAGTTTTCCATCTCACCCTTAACAGATTCTGTCTAAAGGTGCTAANGCACAGAATTGAGACCTGCACTACAGCGCAGGTTCAACCTACCCAGGGTATCTTTTCGTTATCTGGCTTCACTTAACATAATAACGCAATCGGGGTCATCGGTCTTACGAAGCTGGTTATCAAGTCAACTCATGAAATGTGAATGTAGCTTCACACAAAAGGGGCAGAGTTGGAAACTGATGATCAATCACAAACATGGATGTTTACGAGCATCACAGTGGCATATTTTACAGTCATGGAAAAAAATATTAGACCACCCTTGTGTTCTTCAATTTCTTGTTCATGTTAATGCCTGGTACCACAAAAGGTATATTACCTGAAGAATACAATGAACACGACAACAAGTGCAGCTGTTTACATAATACTTTATGTCCTATGTGACATGCTTAAGCTTAATTGTATTCCCAGTTGTGCTCATAAGTTTACATACCCTGGCAAAATTTAGGATTTCTTTTTTCAGAGAAAATGAATAATAATAATTGGGTGAAGCCATTTATTGTCAAACATTTGTGTTTACTCGTTTTAAATCATAATAACAACAGAAACTCCCCAAATGACCCAGATTAAAAGTTTATCTACCCCCGTTCTTAATATTGTGTATTGCCCCCTTTAACATAAAATGACAGCTTGAAGTCTTTTGTGGTAGATTTGGATGAGGCTCTTTATTTCCTCCGATGGTAAAGTTGCTCATTCTTCTTGGCAAAAAGCCTCCAGTTCCTGTAAATTCCTGGGCTGTCTTGCATGAACTGCACATTTGAGATCTCCCCAGAGTGGCTCAATGACATCGAGGTCCGGAGTAATGTAGTCACAGTAGAAATAGCGTACCTTTCATCATAGGCCTTGTTGACTCCTCTCCAAATGTAATGCTTATTAGTTGTGGCCAAAAAGTTAAATTTTTGTCTTATCACTCAAAATGACTTTGTTCCAGAAGTGTGAAAAGTTTTTCTCTGATCATTCATATTCTCTGAAAAATTGCCAAAAAAACCCCACAAATTTTGCCAGGGTATGTAAACTTATGAGCACAACTGTATAAGAGGTCATTTCATGTCATAAGCAACACTGCACATGCAAAGGCCTCGATTGGTTTCCTGCTTACATTCAAGCCATAGCACAACTCAGAAGTCGTCAGCTCTCACATAATACCAAAAGCAAAAGAATTATGTGAAACCACAAAGGCAGCCATCTTGGCACTGCTGGAAATTGGCGTGAGTGAAAGTCAAGTTGCGAATAAACTGAAGATCTCCAAGACAGCCATTCATTACACCAAGAAAAATCAAGCCCAACATGGTGCTACCAAATTACTAGCTGGTTGCAGCAGCAAACGTCTTTCTACCCCACGAGATGACCATGCACTCATTCGCTCCTGTGTCAGGAATCGTCGTCAGACCCCTAGGGACCTTAAAAATGAGTGGACACTGTCGAGAAATGTGACTTGTTCGGCAAGGACAGTTTGAAACAAACTTCTTGAAGCTGTTCTGAAGTCACACAGGGCACGGAAGAAGCCCTTCATCAACGAAAGGCAGAGGAAAGCCCGATTACTCTTTGCTGGGGATCACAAGGATTGGACTGTTGATGGCTTAAGGTTCTCTACAGTGATGAATCCAATTTTCAGTTGATGTCCACTCCAGCCAACTTACTGGTTAGGAAGAAGCCTGGAGAAGCCTACAAACCAGACTGTCTTGCCCCTACAGTAAAACATGGGGGTGGATCAGTGACCATCTGGGCTTGTTTCAGTTTGGGTAGAACAGGGCAAATGCAACTGTGTGAAGGGTGAATGAACCAGGTCATGTATGGGGCTATTCTTGAAAACAAACATTCTTCTATCAGCTAGAAAACTCTTTACTGCCTCCAATGACTGGATTTTCCAATAATCAGTGCTCCTTGTCACATGGCAAGGTCTGTTAAAGCCTGGATGGAGAACCGGAACACTGGAACCATGCCTTGGCCTGCTCAATCACCAGTACTAAATCCAATTGAAAACCTGTGGAAAATGATCAAATGCAAAATGGAGAACCACAAGTCCAAAATCAAGGCAAAGTTGTTTGAATTTGTGAAACAGGAATGGGCTGCTGTGACAGCAGAACAATGCCAGAAGCTGGTGGAGAGCATGCCAAGACGCAGGGCTACAGTCATCAAAAACAGTGGTTACGCAATCAAGTACTAACTCCTGTATGTATTATGTGACTAAAACAGACAGAAAAAAAAAAACATGGAATGCCTAAAAGCACTGTTTTTGGCAGTACAATACCATAGCTATTGATGTAAGAACTTGTGATTTTGGTTTTTATCAACAAAACCATGGAAAATGGCTAGATATCAGGTCTTACATTAAACTCTTAAATGGACTGCACTTATATAGCCATTGTCCACTTTAGCAGCAGTCAAAGCGCTCTCCAATGTTTTCTCATTCACCCATTCATACACCAATGATGACAGAGCTGTCATGCAAGGTGCTGCCTGCCATTGGGAGCAACTTCGGGTTCAGTGTCTTGCCCACTACGACTGCGGAGGGGCGGGGGATCCAACCGCCAAGCTTACGATCAGAGGACAACCGCTCTACCACCTGAGCCACAGCCGTCCATCCTCTTATGAGCTATTTTTGTTATCATTATATTTGTCAGAACAAATGTACCTTTAGTGTTACCAGGCATTGAAGCTAACAAGAAATTAAAGAGAACAAGGGTGATCTAATAATTTTTTCCATGACTGTACAAAGAGAAAAATGTAATATCAGATAAATACGAGATTTTAAACATGACTGAAAGCAACAGAGCTGCAGCAGCTAAAGCAGAATGGAAAACTGCAAAAAGCTGCAGACTGTTTGAATGCATAAATAATATGCTCATCAATATCTAGCCCTTTGAATGTATGTTGCTCAGATGAAGATTTCTTATTCAACACAGATAATACACACATTATATCTTGACACATTTTTCAGCTACATCACCCAACCCGACATCAGCTAGTTTTAATGTTCAGGATGTGATGACTCAGTTTACAACCACGTGTCAGGGTTCATGGATGGAAGGATGAAGCTTTGAAAACTACACAACAAGCAGCAACAGACAGAATCATCATGAAGTCCACCAGGAGATGTGTTTTTGAACTTTGCTATATGTGGAGACTTTAAATCCTTGGGACGCAAAGCATGCACGTACTGAAGGTGTGTAACGTTATCTGTGGTTTCCAGATGATGTCCAGCATTCTGCGCTGACGATCGATCTCTTCCTCGTACTGGACGATGGTTTTTTCAAACTCCTTGAATATTTCTTCAGCAGCAGCAGTTAGTCGCTCGTTGATCAACTCTCTCAGATTCTGAACTGAATTCATCGTTACTTCAACTGATGAAATATTCATCTGAGATACGACAACACAACCGTCTTCCAGCTCGGTCCACACATCAGTAAACTAACGCTGCTGGAGGCTTTTCATTGTTTATTTCCGCCTGGTGTCACACCGTGAAGCTCCGGCAGAAACAGCGGTTTAGCCTCTGTGCCGCCGTCAACTGAAAGAAAAGAAAAGAAAAAAAAAATTCAAAGTGAGATAACTTTTAATTCCGCCTTGTTTGTCGTTTTTTCCTTCCATCTCCCTCTTATCACAAACTTTTCAACAAGACTGGGAATTTGCATTTATTCATAATGAAAAAACAAACATTAACTTAAAATATTATTGTCAAATTGCTATAAAGTCAAATGCTTGATACAAACTTAAACTAAGTACAATAAGCAGTTAAGTTTCAGAACAAACAATTTTACACGTAAAAGCCAATGAATTCAAAGATTCACTCTGAACAGCCTATTAGTTCAATCATTTAGACATTCTACTTCATTTACGTTTGTTACAGTTATATACTTATTGTTTATTTGTATACATCTGTGTAGCTGTTGTTCAGAATCTGATCACATGCTTTTTAAGTAATTTTATAACATTAATTTCATGTCTCTACCAGAAAGCACTTTGGCTCAGTGGCTGTTGTTTTCAGTGTGATGCATTAATAACTGTAAATTGACCGTATACTGAGCTCCTATCAACAAATCACACAGATGGTCTATGCGGTGAAAAAAAAAGAGAAATGAATAACATAAAGTCTTTGCCTGGACAGCAGAAATTGCAACACAGCTGGACTTTTTTGTCTCCATTTGCTGAACTCTGCTAAAAAATAAGAAATCAGATTAAATACATGAATTTCAATTTGAAATTTGAATTCAGTGACAAAATTTTCTGTCGTGATGCTAGATCACAGCGTGAGAAACCTCATTATAAGCACTGCTGTTCTCTCTATTGTTTATTCAGTACAAGTGACAATAATGTTACTGCTTCTCATCTGGATGATGATTGTCTCCTTTCAAACTGGTAAGTCATCAGAAGATTGAGTCAGATGGAAAAGGAGGAGACACACAAGATAAACATTTGGATGTTATTTGAATTGATTAACTTTTTATCCAAAAAAATCTCATGGTAAATCTATGTTTGTTGTTTTCAGGATCCTCTGAGGATGTACTGACTCCATTTCCTCTTCTGGTACTAACAGAAGTCCTGTTCATCTCCACAGCTTCTCATTGCAACATATTCAGAGAAAACAGAAATGTTGTCTGTCAAACATGACAAACATTCAAAGGAGCTTCATCTTCAGATCTCCTCTGCTGCAGTGTCTGACTCTGCTGTGTACGACTGTGCTCTGCAGCCCAGTGACAAGAAACAGCAAAACTCTGTATAAAAACACAAGCTGACACACTGACAAGCTGCTAAAAGCCTTTTCTCCACCGTTGAACTCAGCTTTGTAGCTCCACAAGAGGGCCACAAAGAGAAGAGAAGAAAATATAGATCAAAGAGAAGACGAACAGATTCAAGGAGGAGCTGAGCTGTTACTGAACTATAGAAGAGACACTAACTTCCACATTAGAACCATCAGCTGTAAAGAACTCACTGCAGATAACATCAGCAAGTTTCTGCTGCTGATTTACACCTTGTTGGACACATGGAACATTGGCTGTGGATTATTCTTGTTGCTCTTATCTTTGGTAAGATAGAAAGATCTCCAAAAACTCTTTACAGCTGCTGATCCTTTAATCAATCATCTTTATTGATTCATGTCTTCCTCTGCATGTTGTGTTCTTTTCCAGAGTGTAAAGGAGAAGACAAAGTGATTCAGCCACCAGGAGATGTCATTGCTGCTGAAGGAGACACAGTTACACTGGGATGTACTTTTGAGACCAGTGCAGCAGTAGCACAGCTTAATTTGTTCTGGTACAAACAAGAAGTAAATGACTTTCCAAAGTACATTTTACGACGTAGTAGTTATGGAGGAGATGATAATGCTCCAGAGTTCCATAAAGACAGATTTGATGCTAAACTCAACAAGACATCAGTTCCTCTGAAGATCCAGAAGCTTCAGCTGTCTGACTCTGCTGTGTACTACTGTGCTCTGCGGCCCACAGTGACAGGAAACAGTAAAACTCTGTACAAAAACCTTTGGAGCAAAGACAACAGAAAACTCCACAACATCCACTAGAGGGAGACACACTCTGTTACACATATATGGTTTATCAGAAAACAGTCTGGATTTCTTGCAGTAGTCTGAATAAAGCAACAGAAAACATAAAGCAATGAAAACTACAGGGAAGGTACATGTTTGCTGCATCTGTGCTGCATTTATCAAGTATCCCAACACAAATACGAAATATACTCAACAGACAAGTGAGACACATGCAAATAACATTTTTTGTCTTCACCACTGTTGAATCTATCCAACAGTCAGTAAAACAACATTAAAATTCTACAGTTTGCAATACAATCTTCAATACCAAGGCAAAAAAATAATCCAATGAAATGCAACAAAGTTTTTCAACATCAGCAATTTAATTTGATAATAAGAAATACATTCCTATTTTCTTTTTTCTCTTGTGTTTTTACAACAAAACAATATTGGGCCAAAAATTTGAAAAACATTAAAGTCCTCTCCACATTTCTTCGAGAATGAAGAACCTACATACGGAGCGTTTATCTGACTGACCGACTACTGCCACCTAACTTTTGGGTCAGATGGCTGCAGCCCTCCTCCTCCTCTTCCACCCCCAGTTTTCAACTGAACCAGTGTGTCATCAGCAGTGCTGCTCCACATCATATCCATCCAGATGTTCAGTTCGGTTCTTCACCCTGTTCCACCACCACCACCAGATGGAGTCCAGACTCCATCTCCTTCTCCATATTTTGAACGCCATGTCAAATGCAACTACTGACTCTGTCAGCCTTTCTCTTGTTCGAGTTTCAATTGAGGTGCAGATGAATCAAAACACAGAGCCCCTCTGTCGTCTTTCTGCAATGTATTGATAGGGGAGGACTGGCAGAAAATTACCAACTGATTAAAAACCTCACCATTAATGTTAAAGCACAGAATAAAGGTGCTTTAAAAGTCAAAGATCTACTTTAAACTTGACCTATTCTTACATGTTTTAAGCTTTGTTCCCCGATGAATTTCCCACAGATGTTTCTGTCGTTGATGACTTGTCTCCTGTGTGGACTTTCATGTGGACTTTTCAAAGTACTACTCTGACCAAAACTTTTTCCGCAGGTATTACAAAGGTATGGCCTCTCACCCGTGTGACTTTTCGTGAGACGTTTAGGTTGTGATGGAAGAAGAAATCTTTTTCCACAGGTGTTACAAAGGTTCGGCTTCTCACCTGTGTGACTTGTCACATAGATAGTCAAACTATGACTTTGACTGAAACTTTTCCCGCATGTTTCACAAGAATAAAGCTTCTCACCTGTATGCGTTCTTATGTGAAGGTTAAGTTGTGATGGGATGGAAAAACGTTTTCCACAGGTGTTACAAAGGTATGGTTTCTCACCGGTGTGGTTTTGCATGTGGAATTTCAGGGAACAGCTAGAACTGAAACTTTTGCCACAAGACTTGCAAGCAAACAGTTTCTCTCCTGTGTGGACTGCTCGATGCTTTTTAAATGTTGAAGAGTCACGAAGTCTCTGACCACAGGTGTTACAAAGGTACAGCTTCTCACCAGTGTGAGTTCTCATGTGGCCTTTCAAGCTTGAGTTTTGACTGAAACTTTCTCCACATGTCTTACAGACAAAGGGCTTCTCACCTGTGTGTATTCTGTAATGTCTCTTCAGTTTGGAATTATCGTGAAAGGTTTTTCCACAGATGTCACACATCAAAGGGTTTTTACCTGTGCAATAATCACAGCGACTCTGTGGCGTGGGAGACTTGTTTACAATGTTGCTAAGGGTACTGTTTCCAGGACATCTCTGATTTGGATTCAGCTCTGCATTTGTAATTGATATTGAGTCTACATGCTTGCTTCCTGCCGGATCTGAGCTATTAGCTACAGGTAAGCTGTAATAGAGGAGCTGGTCACTGTTTGGTTCTGGTTGTCTGTGGTCACTTTTCTCATTAGCTACAGTCACCATAAAGCTATTCATCTCTTGCTTCAGTACAGTCTGCTCTCCATCCTGACTGGTGCAGAGATCCACCTGTTCCTCTTTAATTTGTGGAGGCCCTTGATCCTCCTGGTCTAGACTGGAGTTCCTCTTCTGGCTACAAAGCTGCTGCTCAGTGAGAACCTCTTCCTTTGAACAGACATAGTGCTGTGGAAGCTCTGGAGGAACAAATGGAAACACAAGGGAAAAGGTGATTAACATGATGTTAGAAAACACACATTTGCCAGTCTGTCCAAGAATTGCTTCCCCCAGCAATTCCAGCTCAAGAGCACAATGTACTGGAAAAAGTATCTCAATATGATCAGACCTTTTTTTTTTTTTTGGTATACATTCTTCTGTAGTAGCCACAGAATTACTAAGAACCTGATGGTAAACAGCACAGAGTACTTTTCGACACATGCTCATGAAATGAAAATGAATGAAATGAAAAATACTTTATTCATCCCAGAAGGGAAATTCAATCCTGTAAAAGCTCACCTTTCTTTTTTTTTCTTTTTTTTTAAAAATCAATATAACATATATTATATACAACAATAATAATTATTCAGTCAGTTGGATTTGTTTTTTTAAGTGATGGCTGTTGGCAGGAAGGAACTCCTGTATCTCTCCGTTCGACAGCGAAGTTGACGCAGCCTCCCACTAAACACACTCTGTTGNATTTAGAGAGTTTTCAGATGAACTGCGTTTACACAGATGACAAGACAAGCCGGCCTGTACCCATCTCCTGATGTAAGCAGTTCTTGATTCAGACTACTAAAGATCAGTTTTCCTGGTTAAGAGCTGTGTTTTGGGAGTTTTTTTGGCTGTCAGAACACAAAAAACGGGTTCTAGATTTAGTACCAACTCCAAACTAGCCCTAACTACCTTTGCGGTAAAGGAATAAGAAAGGTCAGACCTTTCTGAGCTTTGCAGACATGTGAGAATGATCAAATTTATGTCATGCTGATCCCCAGGAACCATGAATTGGCCTTTACTAAAACTTTGCTCATTCACTCATACACTCACAGTATTTAGGTGCTACGGTGCTTTAAGCAAAAAGCAGTTGTCAACGTGACCACAATGACAATATATGCCACAGTGTACAGCTAAGATTGATACGAATGTCACTAGTTGTGCAAGTATTTATTCTGAAACCAAAGATTGACGGGACAAGATAAAAAGTCAGGGGATCATCTGAGCTGCAGTTTATCCTGACATGACATTTGTTTACTAAATTTTATGTCAATTATTCAAAGATTATTGAGCTATTTTTGTCTGGACCAAAGTAACAACAAAGATGTAGCTTACTGACAGAAGAACATTGTTGTTTGTATAGGTAAGCAGTTAGCATTGTTATCAATGTACAGGACAAACAGTCTGCAGTCTTACAGCAGTGTGGGGTCACGTTAATCAAAATGCTACTGTTACCATACTGATGACAAGCAAGTATTTGTATACTTTCTCATCTTTGTGTGTTGCTAATTCATTCTGTAAGTTCGGTAGCTATTAGAAGAAGTTCTGAAAAGATTTGGGATTACCAAAGTAAACACAGCTCGTCCTCAGAGGAACATTATTGTTTGGACCAAACTTTAAAGCAATGTATCCAAAGGTTTTCCAAACATTTAACTAGAAACTACTAAAATCAACCTTGAGTTTCCTTTGGAGTCACATAAGGGTATGTCAGCTACCAACCCTGAATGTGCAAAGTTTTGTGCAAATATTTGTACCAGGAGACACCGATGTTTGGTCAGTGAGGTCGTTGGGAAAACATGAATATCTGAGACAAGTTTCAATCCATCCAATAGTTGGTTAGAAATTTCACAGACGACATTGCATTCCCTCAAACCTTGGCCAGGAGCATGGCTAAATATAAAATGGGTAGAATAGAATGAGGATGAAGAAACATGACTTCAAGCCAATATCAACACTTACCAATGAAATCATTGGATTTTCCCATGTCGTAGTCCCAGACAGAGATGTCAAGGGTTTTCTTTGCAAGCTCAGCGTGCTTTATTTCATAACTAAACTCCTGAAACATAGTGATGAAACATAAAAGAACAGAGTTTATTACAAAAGCTAAGAGCGAAGTCTGGGTGAGCAGAAGATTGCAGAATGCAGCAGTGTAGAAAGAACTGACCTCGTTAAACTCTGGGTTGAGGGTCTTCTTTTTTATCTGAGTCTTGTTTTTCGCTTTCTTTCCCATGTCTGGCTTCAGGCATCTACATCATGAGAGAGCAGAAATGAGTAAAATATATGAGTATGACTTGAAAAATCCATAGGAAAAAGCTGGATAAGGTCAAATTAGGGGTCCTTCAGTCAGGATAAAGGCTTCACTTTCCTGTTACTTGTGAACAAGATCTTGAGATACCTAAACTCCTTCAATTGGGGCAGCAAGTCACCCGCAACCCAGGGTAAGCGCTGAAGATGTGTTTCTGCTGAGTGTTGTGCTGAAAATAGTCTGACTTACAGGATGCAGGCTGTGGGTATAAAATCGCTGTTGTTTTCAAAATGCTGTTTGCTATAGGAATCAATGACAACCTCAAGGCAGCAACTGATGAGCTGAAAATCTATAGTTCTGATGAAGATCTGGATCATGCACCAAGGGAGCCCCACTACTTTTTCCATCAAGCCTCCTTAATGGCAGTATTTGCCTCCCTGCATGTAAATGTTCTACCAAAACACTTCATACTGAAACCATACAGATTGTACCGTACAGACAAGAGAGTGACGTTGATCTTGTCATCTCTGAAAATGTTGAGCGGACTACAACTACAACCTAACGATAACTAAGCATGGCCCTATAATGAGACTGCTGCTAAACGGAGCACGTACACTTTAACAAACGGGTCCGAGTATCCGTTGGAGTCCATGGCAGCCAGGTGAGCGCAGCGGACCACGCCCACTAAGAGACGACCCTGCTGGCTGCTGTACATCAGGGATACCAGTATGCGACCCCTCTCCTCTGAGTCCTCGCCTTCATTCAGCTGCACACACACACGTATTACATATTAAACGAATGCATACAAAAACACATTAACAGTATTTTACTGACCCCAGTGCTGCTTTAACCTGTGCACATATCTGCAGGGATTACACTGCGATTATCATAATATCCACTAATGGAGGATAATGTTTGTGCTTAAGTACAAAATTATCTACATGTATGTTGTTATGCAATAGGGCTAACTGCACAAGATGCTTAAAAGATAAGGCTGACAGTATTTTTTGGTATAAGCAGCAAATCCCATGAAAAGAACAAAACCAATAATGTGGTATACTTTTAGCCTGTCAAAGCTCACCTCTTAGCCCGGAGTCCTTTGTCAGATGTAAATCTTTAAAAACAACTGTATGATTTAATATTTTAAAAAGGGTCAGGCATTCCCTTAAACAGCTATAGTTCCTTGTAAATGCATTCTAATAGAAGCAAACATTACATTTGTTGGGGACAGTTTTTAGTAGTGGAAATAATACTGGATTACTAATACTTTTTTGCTTTGCAGCATTTCTAACTACAGCACCGACTAATGCTGAGCACTTTTTTCTCAAGTGTACATTTTGTCTAACTCACTGTGTTGATCATTTTATGTAAGGTAACATGAGAGCTGGGAAAAAAATAGTTCCCATTATTATTCCATTATATGTGATACATGAATGTAACTGAGAGCAGAAACACAGATGAAGAAATTTGATGCAGGTCGATTACATCCTTCCGATCTGCTTTAAAAGGTCAGTATCCGCTGCGGTACAAGGGAGTGGTGGGCAAATGATCATCAGTGGACCAAATTTAGCCTTCGAATAAACATATCCACATAATCACAACCTGAAGGATCTATTTTAAGTAACAATATATATGCAAGCTTTGTGTAACTCCTAATGTATCCTAAATGTATCTCGTAACATATAATAATTGTCAGTCATTTGGATTTGAAACACGTAGATGGTAGTTAAAAGAAGTATTATAGTAGTATCAAATAAAATAGGCTACTGCTTGTCTGTTATTTACGAATGTGTTCAAGCACAACCCTAAAACAAGCAAAAAAAACATATATTTCCTGTTTAATTTTGGCTTTTTTTTTCAGTATTTCCAGATGTACGTTTGTGTTCTGTCATTTGAGTCCATTTCCTATTTGTACTTTGTGATAGTGTTAATATATATAATATATACGGGGTTAATTCATCACTGGTAATAATATTGTTATAATGTTAGAGTATACCATAATACCATGCATATCATGGCAGTCTTGAGTTTCCATTGACTCCTATAACTCT